AGACAGGAAATACCTATCAAGTATGGGAGAGATGTGAAGGTCGAGGTGGGCAGTGAATCTGATACCTGCTCTCTGAAAAAGCCAAGTGACTTCTGGCTGAAATGGAGCTCACGTTTGGGCCATCATTTCACACCAGTTGCTTCCATGTCTGCTCTGGGAAGGACAGAATGTCAAAGCCACCATAGTCTGAACATCTATGAAGAAGGGAAGAGAATGATCCAGAGAAACTTGTGCTCAGGAGGGAATGTTCCAGAACTCAGTCTGTCTGCACACCACTCTCCTTGGGGCAGGGGACAGTGGCAACACCCTCCTGTCTCCAAAAGAAACTGGATGAGCACCTCTGGTAAAGACAGGTGTTAGGAGCTGCTTGGGGCCTGGGGACGAGGCCTGAGCCTCCTGGTGGAAGGCGGCTGGAGTAACATCTCTACAGGGTTACCCCGAGCGAGAGGACCCGCCCTTGGAAGACTTCCAGGCTGAGAAGGACATCCCCCTGATAACACGGGCTTCTGACCTGCGGCCCACTAGGAGGCCAGAGACTAACTTTGTAATTTCTTGACTTTCTGGAAGATTTCCAGGAGTTGCTTCTTGGCTTTGGTGACCATTGCTTTCCTCAGGAAAAATGGTAAACACCTATTTCACATAGAAATGCAGGGCTTCCTAGGAAATAAAGCTTCCTGCCTATCTCTTTGCCATATCATTTTCTGCTTCCCACTTCCCTCCAGCAAAAGCCTCCGGACTCCTCATACACATTACTGTGACTGAGAAATGCCGGGTTCTGAGTATTTCCCAGGTTCTCCACTCTACATAATTATAAACCAGTCCCATCAAAAACAATCAAAGGTAACTTCACCCCATAAGATCCAGAAGTCCTAATCAGTCTACAGGAGTCCCCATCATTTCACTGAAAGGCCACTAATCATCTTGTTGTAGTTTATATTCAGATGTTCCCCCAAAGCCTCATATGCTCAAAGGTGGGGCTTTTGAAAAGTAAATGGCTTGTCAGGCTTACAGCAGACTTACTGTTAGAAGGTAAATTCTGTGTAGAGGGGGGAGGTCACTGTGGATATGACCCAGAAAATTTCATCCCCCTCCCTCTCCCCAGCACCCTGTTTCCTGGATGTTATGAGATCAGCAGCTTTCCTCTGCCCAGGCCTTTCTCTATGCTGTCCTGCTCTGGATCCAAGTGACTATGGACCGAAACCTCTGAAAACTGTGAGCCATAAACAAACCTCACCTCCTTTAAGCTGTAGGAGCCAAAAACAAACCTCACCTCCTTTTAAATTATTGGAGCCAAAAACAAACCTCACCTCTTTTAAATTGTAGGAGATGTGTCTCAGCAATGAGGAAATGACTAAGACAATTGATCCTGGCATATTTATTTTTGCAATATATCGGTGGATCCACAGAACTCTGAGTTCCCATTCAGCTCTGTGGGTTAAAGATGAATGAGAAGGAACCACTCACTATACCTGTCTTAGTCAGCTCTGGCTGCTGTAACAAAATGCCAGGGAGCAGGTAGTTTAAAAATGATGGACAGGGGGCCAAGGCTTTAGCTCAGCAGCATAAATGCCTGATTTGCAAGCATGTGGTCATGTGTTTGCTCCCCAGTACAAAAAAAAAAAAAAAAAAAGCCATAAAAATGATAAACATTTGCTGGGAATGGTGACGCACTCCAATAATCTCAGCACTTGGAAGGCTGAGGCAGGAGGATTGTTGCAAGTTCGAGACCAGCCTGGACTACAAAGTAAGCCCAAGGCCTGCCCAAACTGCATAGCAAGACCCTGTCTCAAAAAAGACAAAAATAAAATAAAAATAGCAATAAAAACAAAAATGATGGACATTTACTTCTCCCAGTTCTGGAGTGTGGAAGTCCAAGAGCAAGGCAGATGTGGAATGTGGTGAGCATCCTCTTCCTAGTTCCAGACAGCTGTCTTTCTATGAATCTTCACCTGGCAGGGAGCAGAGAGACTATTTCACGTCTCTTACACTAATCCCATTTATAATGGCCCCATCTTCATGACCTACTCACCTCCCAAAGGCTCCACCTCCAGATACCATCACACAAGGAACAGATGCAGTCTATAACAATCTCAAACTGTAGGTCTGGTCTCACCTGCCTTTCCTGGGCTGAGCTGGAATCATCCCATGAGCTGACTCCTTTCAAGCCACTTGCACCCCAACTACAGCTGCATCCCTGGGGACCCACTGTTACTCAGTGCCCTGTGGAGAATAGAGACCCTCTGCTGACAGTCCAGAATACCTGCCTGGGCACAGTCCACGTATTTAATCTGCTGAACATGGTCCCAGTTTGATCACAGCTGTCTCTGAAGCTTTTGTTCCACTTTCTCAGTTCTAGGCTGGAGAAGCTAATATCTACACCTTTATATCATCCTTCATTTCCCCTTCTTATTGTGCTCATTCTATTACAAAGGCAGATAGCAGCTCATCATGTGTGGAAGACCACCTGGAGGACTCTCCTTGAACAAAGGGCAATCATCTCCATTTTGGCTGAACCTGGCCCTATTTCCATGTACTAATATGTACAGAGTTGGCTGGGCCATTTCCTTTTCCCTTCAGTTGGTTCTAAGTAACATAACTAGGGCTGGCTGTGGTGCTGATGCATAATCTTTGAAGCTAGTCCTGCTGTTTCCCTACCCCATGTCTCCCCAGAAAACATGGTTAAGCTGGGGGGGATGAAGAGCCACCACTCCATACTTGTCAACTGGAGTGGACCTCAAGATCAGAGGCCATGATTTCCCAGGGCAGAAAAGTTTACACATTGGAACTGAAGCACTGCCCCAGAACTGCCACCTCAGTTGTGTTATGCAGATGACTCTTTCTGCACATCCTTCTCTCTGCATATTGCAGAGGTGCTTTCAGGCCTCCTACCTAGCCCAGCTCATAGTACTCACATATTTCTTGCCATTCCCTTCAAAAATCCTCCCCCCTGCCCACTTCAAACACATTCCATCATTCTTGCCACTTTCCAAAGCAGTTCTGGAAGCCTACTTGTGTGTCTTTAGTTGTGCTGTTCCACACACTGCCTCAATTCCAAATTCAGAACACTCACCTTTCATGATTATTTTGAGTTGGGGCTGAGCCAGAGCTATCATAGCAGCAGATCTGGTGAATCAGGTGGATGAGGACACTCAGGAATGTTTTTATGAGCCTTTCAGCAGCAGCATTCACTGTGTTCTTCCTGAAGACACTCATGAAAAAGGACTTCCAGAACCACTTCAGGAAGGGTCAAGCATGGTGGCATAAGTATGTCTGAATAGGAGGAAGTAGCTATTTTGATGACAATTTGTCTTTTACTGTAATAAATTTTTAAACAGTCAACCTCTCCTGTGTATTTTGATCACATTGCACACATGTCCTTCTGATATCTCCACATTTTCATATGTGTCTTTGTCAGAAGCTCTCCCAGGGCATATTCTGTGAGTTAGCTCAAGCACCTACCTTTAGGCATGAGGCATGACACTGGGACTAGCTGTGAGCAGCAGCTCTCTGGGCTCTGCTTGGCTATTTTTATTCACAGGTGTTTTGTTAATCGTAATATGCCTTTGGCAAAGTCTGTATTAGATTAGGAAAGAAAAGATGGTATGTGGTCTTGGATAGGCATTAAATACAGATTGCATCCTTCCCCAAAAAAGGTATGTTGAAGTCCTGACCCCCTAGGGTTAACTAGTTAACCCCTCCCTAGGTTAACTAACTGTGGCCTTAACTAGTTATGATGAGATCAAGCTGGAGCAGAACAGCTCCAAATCCAGTAGAGCCCATTGCCCTCTGAGAATAGAGGACAGCTGTGTGAAGATGCAGGCCACAGGGGAAGAACCCTGTATGCCACATGGGTGGAGAATGGAGTGCTGCAGCTGCAGGGCAAAGCCAAAGGGGTTGCTGGACACTGTGAACAGCTAGGAAGAGGTGAGGGAGGATGCATCGCTCTTTCCTGTGGATGTCAGAGGGAGCTCAGCTCTGCAACGCCTTGATTCCAGAGCTGTAAGAGAAAGCATTTCTGGTTTCTAGGCTAACCAATTCCAATATTTGTGCAGGAGCCAAAGGGAACATCCTACATCCGGAGAGAAAAGAAACACATTCAGCCAGGCATAGTGGCACACACCTTTAATCCCAGCGTACTGAGAGGCTGAGGTGGGAGGATCACAAGTTCAAGCCCAACCTGGGCAACAGAGACTTGCTCGGAACCTGTCTCAAAATTTTAAAAAAATTTTAAAAGATGTAGTTTAGTGCAAAGACTCTGGGTTCAATTCCCAGTACTGGCATTGTGGGGTGCCAGAGGGGTAAGAAAAAAATAGATACAGTGCTCTAAAGGGGGGAAAAACTAATAAATTTATCCATCTGCAGGAGCTCTAGGGTCTTTGACTTCCTCAGTCCTAATTTAATGCTCACCTAGATGGTGGGCAAATAATAGCTACTTTCAGGACACCAGTCTCTCAACCTCCTTTCAAAATGATAAATTATTTTTAGTTTCTATTCTATTCAAATTTGGATTCCAACCACAAAAGCCTTTGTGTGCTGAATACCTTTGCCCTATGTGGGTTGTAGTAGAAGTGCTGGACTCAGGAAGACAGACGGACACTGCACAATCCATTGACCAGCTCCCGTCACTCTCAAGTGCTGAGTGCCCGGGCAGTGTGACAACAGCCAGCGTGCATAAGCAAGACTCACCTTCCTGCCTGCTATTTGACAATGGGACAGGAATATGTGGCTTGTTCTAGGAGACAGCAGTCAGCACATTCTGCCATCTTCCAGGACTCGTTGTTGGAACCAACAGCCCTGAAATGTTCTGATCTGCCCACTCTGCCCAGCCAAGCCTCGGAGGCGTCTGACTGTCTTAGACACTCCTCTTTCTTCTGGCCTCTCTCGGTGAGTGCCCAGCCCAGCAATGTCAGATGACCTGCCTGTGTGAGAGGTGCTGACTCAGGCTCCACTGCAGCGCTGCCGGAGCAAAAGGCAAGCAGGTCAGCCCAGCACTCTGGGTGTTAAAAAGCCACAAGGTGATTCTGCCGCTCATCAATGTTGAGGCTTGACTCTGTTGCTGTCTGCAGTGAGGCATTGTCCTGCTTCTCCAGCTGCTTCTTTTTTTTTTTTTTTTACCAGTACCGGGGATCAAACTCACGACCACCTGCTTGCAAGACAGGTGCTTATGCTGCTGAGCTAAATCCCCAGCCCCTGTCCAGCTGCTTCTTTACCGTATCCCATGCCTGGCTCACTCTTCCATTGTCCTCTACTTGCATATGTGAATATGTATTTTCACTTATTCATAAAACTTCTGGAACAGCATGGCCAGTAGTCAGTTTGGTGGCCGGATCTAGCTGGACTAGAAACACTGAAAGCGTGCAGGTTAAGCATCTGTAGGATGTAAGGAGCAAAAACACTCAGTTTATTCAGATGATAGCATTTACTGCACAGAAATGATGGGTCTGAGTATCTCCTGCTACAAATGACAAGATAACAAAGTTGATTTTTTTTCTCTTGGTTTTTATATTTGTCATTTCACATTTAGGTTTTGAATTATCCAAAACTGTGCACCAGCATTATTATCCTCTTTCATCTTCACTGGACTCAGCTGTTTCTCTCATCTCTGCAGCCAGTCCCTGGCCGACCTTCTTCCTGTCCCCATTCCTTCTTGGGTCCACAGTCTCCACTTCCGTCCGAGGGCTACTCTCCTGAACCACTGTGCTCTGTGTTCCACCCTGCAGTTCACCCTATGCACAGCCACACATTCATCTACTGTGCAGCATTTCCAAAGAATTTCTTCTTTTATTAAAAAATGTCTTCTTTTAGCCATACATGGTAGTACATGTCTCTCTGGAAGGCTACTTCAAGCCCCGCTGGGTAATTCAGCAATTTAGCAAGACTCTGTCACAAAATAAAAAGTGAAAAAAGGTGGAGGACATAACTTCTTTTTGAAATAAATGTTTTTGGTCAGGGATTTAGCTCAGCAGCATAAGCACCTGCCTGGCAAACGCAAGGTGGTGAGTTTGATCCCCGGTACAAAAAAATAAAATAAATGTTTTTCATTTAAAGAGCATAAAACCAAACAAAATAAAACAGAATAAAGCCAACCAAAGCAAAACAGTGCAAGTGATGCAGGACTTTAAAAGAATTTAACAGGAAATCAACGATGATTATTATACTGCCTCTTATTGTCTTCAAAATAGCGGCTAATATCATCAGATATAATAAAATCAAACAGAACAGAATAGAATAAACCTATCAAAACAAAACAATGAAAATGATATAGGACTTTAAAACAAGATAACAGGAAAAAAAAACAAGAAACAGGGAATTAACAATGATACTACTTTCAGAAGGAGATCCCTATAGTCGCTATATTGCATACTGTTATCATCTAAATAGATGCTCAGACTACCGGTTTTAGGCCTGCAAAGTCAATCAATGCGCAAAAAACAACTTAATGCTTTTTTATTTCAGTGGCTATTATCTCAGCCTGTGTTTCTCCTAATCAGCTGGTTGCTTATGGTGGGGTGGTAGGGCCCTCCACACTTCTTATCTCCCAGCCTGTGCTCCGCTGGCTCACAGGAAGGGATTTACTTCTTCTTGGTTCTCTTTCCAGGATGCATGGCAACCACTGGCTCACCAGAAGGGGTTGGCCCAGCCCACGTCAAGTAAATTTTTAATTGATGTGTAATGTTTTTACATATTTATGGTGCATGGTATAGTAATTCAGTCACATATACAATTTACGGGGTAATCAGCATTTCCACCCCCTCAAATACTCTATGCATTGAGAGATTTGAACTCTTCTCTTTAAACCAAACTTAGCCTGACCTAGTTTTCCCACTGCCCAAAGAAGAGGGAGGAATTGAGCACCTCCTAATTTGTCTAGTTATTTTGAAAAACATAATACGTTGATGCAGACTGTGAGTGTGTACTGTGCTCTAGAACACTAGAACTGATTTCTTCCTGTCTCGCTGTATTTGGTGCCCTTTATCCAATCTCTTTCTACCCCTCCCTCTCATCTTCTCATGTTATAGTGACTATAATTCTATTTTCTGCGTCAGTAAGAACAGCCAAAGAATTGGTCTTTTTGTTTCAAAGTGTGTACTAACTCGTCTAACCACAATATTGCAATATAAAGAGTGATATAATATACAATGAATGTTTACATTTTTAAAAAGGTATTTACAATGAAAAGCACATTCCCAATAATCCCTCTCAAAGTATTCCCCTTCACTTCGAACACACTTGACCCGTTGTTCTGGCCACTTTTGGAAGCAGTTCTAGAAGTCCTCTTTCATGAGTGTCCAAAATTACATCCATCCAACAGAAAGGCAGATTGTGAAAGCCTCGCTGTATGTCCTCTTCCGTCTTACTCATCAGATCTAGCACTGTGACACGTCTAGATTTTCCCTAAGTCAAAATGACCAGGAAAACTAAATGCTTTGAATGGATTCAGGACATTGAGGCAGCCGGGACAGCACAACTAGAAACAGACAAGAGGACTTCCAGACCTGCTTCAGAAAGTGGTAAGAAAGATGGGCTAAGTGTGTGTGAAGAGTATTTTGATGAAGAGTAATAGCAATATTTCTTTTACTATAATTTGGATTTTAAAGATTAAGCACTTACTGTATCATTTGATCACACTACAGTGTTTGGCTGATGTGGGTTGGGCCGGGCAGCTGCGAAAGCTTTGTACCTTGGCAGCTCTGTGGCTTGCTCTGTTCCTCATCTCTCATCCTCCTCACTGTAGGGACTTCAGTAGGACACGCCAGTCTCACAGGCTTGGCGCTGGGACGAAGGCAAGTGGAAAGGTGCAAGGCCCCCACAGCCTAGAGCTAACCTCACAGCCACCGCCCAAGTCAAGGGGCAAGGAGGGGGCACGGCACTCTGAGCATATGGCTGGGCATGCAGAGCAGCGGGGAAGGAAGGTGACCATGCACTCACTCTCAGTCGGTGTGCCTGCCACCCAAAGTCACACTGCCTAGATGTCAGCCTCCTGTATCTGGTCACTCCCATCCATACTGCCCAAGTCCCTCACCTGGGGTCAGGCTGGCCGGTTGGAGTTCACAGGAATCTTGCAGAAGTTCGATGAGGTCAGGCCATGCTGGCAGCAGATTCCATGGCTTTCCCCCTGCCAGAAAAGAGGGAGGAATTGTTTGGCTTCATGGGCTGTTAACAGTTTGTACAAAATAAGCAATCATTAAACAATTTCCCTTCTGTGAAATAAACGGAGCCAGAGATCATCTTTGTGGGCTTTCTTTTGTCTTCTTTGTTTCTTTCTGTCTTATTCTGGTAGAAAAATACCTCAAATCTTAGTAAACAATAGCAATAGTTTGTTTCTGCTGTTTTGATATGGATCTTCTCTGCTTCCTTTTTTTCTGAATTGAGAGATTGACTATAGAATTGAGGAGATAGTGTTTTATTCTCTCTCTCTCTCTCTCTCTCTCTCTCTCTCTCTGTCTCTCTCTGTCTCTCTCTGTCTCTCTCTCTGTCTCTCTTCCTGTGTGTGGTTTCTCTGGGTGGAAAAATAAAAGCTCTGCATTCTTTCTGCATTCAATGCACTTCAAAGTTTAAAAAATTTGGATAGAGTACACTGGGGCTATGGGTGTTCTAGATATTAGTCTTTTTATAACTTCCTCATATTTCACATTCGTTTGACCTTAGGTTACAGGAATGCTTTTTGAAAAGAACAATGATTTGATCCTAGCAATGGATGTAGCAAAAATACTGGGGTCAATAAGTTAAAAGCTTTTTAAAAAGACGAAGAAGAAAAAGAAAAAAAGAAAACTAGACTTTGCAAACTTTAAGCTTAAGAGGTATGAAATGGGAGAATTTCCCAGCTGTATCTTATCAAAAAATGTATGCTGTGAAAATATTTCTGAGTTTAGCAGAGGAAAATGTTTGAATTAGGAGAAACCAACTTCTTTAACCTCTGAACTCATTTCCCAGCTTATATAAGTGCTCTCTCTGGGTTTGTCTTTAGTATCTTTACACATGCCATTTTTGCTCTTTCATATAAAAATCTGAATATTCCCATGTGTGTTTGGTTTTATAATATGATCTAAAATACATGTTTCTGTGCTTTATTGAGGGGAGCAAAGCAAGTTTCAAGATAGTGCTGTGGGCTGCAGATGTATCTCAGTGTGTTTGCCCAGCATGGAAAAGTGCTGAATTCAATTCCCAGCACTGCAAAAACAAATAAAAAACCAGTGTGCATAAGTGATATATTTTTATTAAGAATTATATATGTGTGAGTACATTTCTATCAATCAATTAGTGGGTCAGTCATGTATGTATCATTATTTTATTTTACTTTTTTGTGCGGGGGGGACAGGTCTCGCTGTGTCATTCAGGCTGGCCTTGAACTCACTATGTGGCCCAAACTGGCTTCAAACTCACGGTAATCTTCCTGCCTCAACTCCCAAGGACTGAGATTACAGATGTGTGCCACCATACCCAGATTCTTATTGTATTTTTGTTTGTTTGATTGATTTTTTTTTTTTTTAAGACAGAGTCTCATTATTAGTTTAGGCTAGCTTTGATATCCATGTGTAGTTCAAGCTGGCCTTAAACTCTCAGCAATCTCCTGCCTCAGCCTTCCAAGTACTGGGATCACAGGAGTGCACCACCACATCCAGTTTATCTGTGCATCACCTATCCATCTACTTAGACAGACACACATACACATTCAGAAATTCATTTCTAATAAATCGAAAGGATTATGCATCAGTTGGAAAGCTACTCAAGAGGACTGAAAATTCAAGTTCAGCCTAGGCAATTTAGCAACTTAGCCAGACCCTGCCTCAAAACAAAGAATAATAAAGAGCTGTGGCTGTAATTCAGCACCAAACACTGGGTTCAACCTCAACCACCACCAAAAAAAGAAACAAAAAACCCCCGAAACAAACAAACAAACAAGGAATTACAGATCTAATTTAAATCCATCTCTAGTCCAAGTGTCTTCTACTAACATTCAGATAACTGAGAACATTTTACTGTAAGCAATCTAACCTTTTGTGAACAAGGCAATTCCACAAACGTTTTTAGCCCCTACATGTCAGTCACAGTACCTGTTGCCAGGGATACGGTAATGAATTAAGAAATGGCCTTTGCCTTGGGAGAGTTCAGTTTATCACAGCAACAAGTTTAGGATTTGCTTCCTTCTGTTATTTAAATGATTCTTAGGACAACAAACACAACGGCCAGAAGGGGCTCACTGGGGCATCTACCATCTCTGCCCTGGGGCCAATTGTGAGGCCGCTTTGTCCATCGGACCATTCTCAATCCTGGATCCAGGTGGCTTCTGCCATTGTGGGAGGGAACGCAGAACCCGCAAAAAGGGATTAAGACACAGCTCAGAGCAATTAGATCACATAAAGTCCAAATGTCTGGTTTATCGGGATGAATCCAAATTCAGCTCCTGTTGCTAAGAGAAAAAATAAACATAAAAACAAAAAGTGATGCACGTATTACTGACAAGCAAACCCGTGGGCATGCCATCTATTATCAGCAATAAACAGATTTGATTCTTTTCTAACCGGGATTGGCAGGGCCCAGGGGATTTGTCAGCCCGTGGATAATCCTCCAATCGTGTGCCTGCCCCACCGTGGTGATAGCAAGCGGTGGGTAATAAGGCCGCCTAACAGTCTGCCTGTCTGGTGCATTAAAGATAATTCCCCAACGCAGAGGGTCTCCACCAACAGCCTGCATGAGGTAGGTCGGCGCCACACCTCTTACCGGGCAGCTCTGTGACCTGTGACAGTAGCCGTCCCCCGCCCCCGCTCGCGCCAACCCCAGGCTGGATTTGGGGAGTTTTAAATCTAGCAAGGGATGTGGAACCAGCGCAAAACTCAGCAGCCATGAAGATGCAAACACACACGCAGCAGCACACTTTCCGCAGGCAAAGCTGTGTCCGGCTCTGGGCTGGCCAAGTTCATCACATAGGGCTTCATGAAATCGACTCTGCAATTTCTGTTGCCTTCATTTCTCTCATACTCAGAGGATTTAAATGTACAGTGTTGGAGGAGCAGAACCTACCTGTGGCTCAAAAATTTAAAAATTGCAAAAAGAATGCATAGCGAAAACCTTCTTCCTGTCCCTTATTTCCACTGGCTCTGTGCTACCTCCTCCTGCAGCTTCATTGGCATTATTTTATTCTTCCAGAGAAAATAATAATAATAAGTCCTGAAGACATTATGCTGAGTAACCCAATCACAAAAGGACAGATTTATCCCACTTCTGTGAGATCCTGGAACAGTCAGATTCACACCAGAATTGAAAGCAGAATGATGGTTTTCAGGGGCTGGCAGGAGGGGCTCAGGGTTTATAGGAACAAGGTCTCAGTCTGGGAAGAGGGAAGTTTCTGGAGATGGATGGTGGAGACAGCTGCACAATATTGTGCAGGTCCTCAGTGCCACAGAGCTGTATATTGCAACCCCAAATATTGTATACAGTCAACCAAGTATTGTAATCCCTTTTAGTCTTCCTTACAATCCAAAAAGTTATATTTACAGTCCCATTGAGACGTTATTGGAATCTCAGCAAGTTAATTCCAGTCTACCACCTCCAATGCAACCCACGTTGAGTGTAAAGACACCAAGACATATTCCATGTTAAAGGCAGCCAAAGGGTCCTAAGTCCAGTCCCCGAGAGGATGAGTGCCTCTCCCAGAATTTATTATCTTGTGACCTAGAGGGGTGGCTCAGGGATGAATGACAGTGAGGATGGAGGGAACTATGTGAGTAACTTGAGCTGGCTGGCCAGGTAGGGGGAAAAGCATCTCTGAAAAAGGCAGAGATAAAGATATGCAGAGGGATCAGTTTGCATTATTCAATTAAGGTAGCAACTGAATTATTTTAGGAGGCTGTTGCTTCAGTTTCTAATATGTAAATTTTTGTGCCCTGGGGAGTCATAGCCTCTTTACTTTAAGGCTCATACCCAGTTGACATTCCTGGAGCTGATGGCTCTAACATCCCGCTGTGCTCATATCTTTTATACAGAGCACTATGCAAGGAAACAGGAGACTGTCAACTTTCGAAATTACATACCAGTACCTCCCAGTACCTGGCTAGCGTTATTTGCAATGCTTAGAGTCAATTGAAGAGAGAAGGAAATACCATAGCCAGCTCTCTACATAACAGTATAAGGAAATAAGTCTCCAAATAATCAAAGTTGTAGCAATTGTTTTACATTCAAGGGGAGTCACTGGAGCTGTCTCCCACATTATATACTTTCAGATAATTAAATGGGTGTGTAATCTGGCTATTAAGGAGGCTAATGTAGGGAGAATCCAAATTTGAGACTTCCCTGTCTCAAAGTTAAAAGGGCTGGGGGTGTAGCTCAGTGGTAGAGCACTTGCCTAACATAAGTGAGGACCTGAGTTCAAATTCCCAGTGCACTACCAAGAAACAAAACCAAAAAAGAAAGAAAACCACAAAATGTTAACGTAGTAAAATTTTTATATATTTACCACTAGAAAAAAAAATATGAAACTCGTATTTTTAATCTCCTTTTTTGCATAAAAGACAGAATACAATACAATTTTTCTATGCCCAGTCCCTCCACCCCCATGCCAGGGCCCTGTGCATGCCAGGCAAAGACTGCCACTGAGTTACGCACCCTGTCTACTTTTTTTTTTTTTTTTTTAGCAATATATCTTGGTGATATTTCTGTGTTAGTATGTGGAAATAGTCATTCTTTTTATAGTTGAATAGTTTTCTGTGGTGTTACATATCAGACTTTTAAAAAAATTGATCCCCTGTTGATATTTATTCTTCAGTAATTGGGTATAACAAGGGAGAGTGCCAGTAATAACCTCACACACGAATTCTTTCATGTTTTGATTACTTTGGGCTTTTCCCCTCTGGCTTTGTAATTTAAAAATTTAAATTTTTAATAGATTCTGATCACCAACCAACATCCCTTTTTATTTCTCTGACACTCAAATTGTAAAGAGACAGCCAAAGGACCGTTTCTGAAGCTGGCTATACCCATGCCCCCATCATATATTCTCATGTCTCTTTTCATTGCCTCACATTATGGCTTAGGTCTAAATGTCCCCCTCGAGCCTCACATGTTCTGAAGTGAGACTTTTCAAAGGTAATGGATCATAGGGGCACCAGTTGTCTGTGGATTAACCCATAGGTGAGTTCAGAGGTGATATGCTTTTAGGAGGTGGGATTGGGTCGGAAGAGTGGGCCACTTGAGAAGTGGCCTGGAAGTGTTTATCTCCCTCCCACACCCTCTCTTCTCTCTCTGCTTCCTGGCCACCATGACAGGAGCAGCTTTCCTCCACCAAAACTTTCCAATAATCTTCCTGCTTTGGAATCATCCCACTATGGAGTAAATTTTCTAAAAATCATGAACCCAAACAGGCTCTTCTACCTCTTTAAGTTATTGGGGTCAGGTATTTGTCCTATGAAAGTGATTAAGACAGATTTTTGGT